TGTATGGGCAATCGAGCCAAATAGAATTTCCAAGACAAATCAAACTGCAGATGGAGACAAGTGCAGACAGTGACTAACATGGTCATGGGCTGCCCGCTTAATAAACCAGGTGGAGGGCTGTGAATCATGTGCAGAAAATGATGATGCAGTTGTTTTTCTTAGCTGATTAAGTAAATACTAATAGCAAGATAATTCTATTAAGATATGTGAGTGTATATAGTACATTGTACTAGTGTATTGAGTATATACTGTATTGTACATAAGACATAAAATATTCATTTTAACAAGTAAAGGTTTATTCCATGCAGAAAAGAGAAGAAAGGAAAACAAAAGGCTGTGGAGCCTTCTTTGCGAGCCTTCTTCTTCTTCCACACCCGAAGAAGGCTCCAGAGCTGAAACGTTGTGTTTTCTTTCTTCTTTTTTCAGCATGGAATAAACCTATTACTTGTTCCTTTGCGGCTTATGCATGCTGACCCAGCTCCCCTTCTTGAACTACATATAATATATATGTACAGTATCTCAGTATCTGTAGCTTCACTTTAAGGGTTCTTCCAGAAAACCACAAATAGTAACACTCATGAATAAACATATCCAGAGATTATATACTGTATACTGTACTTAAACCACACCCTTCAAAAGCACGCTGACTTTGTCACTGGACAGCAGACCCTGTTGTATAAATATACTGTATACAGGGCCTAGCTAAAGTATGAAGACCCTTCCCATGGTACACACATTTAAATTTAATTGTATTCAAAACATGAATACTAAAACTGAAGACTTCCAAGGATAAGACAAGTAACAGCCAATGACTTCAAAATGTATGTTTTAAAAAGTATTCAGACACAAGAACTCAAAATTTAACTCAAAACTCAACAACACCAGTCGCAACTCTTTTTGGATAAGTCTGTACAGACCTTCTGCAGGTTGATGTGGTTTTAGCCCGTACATTCTGACAGATTTCCAAAAGTCTGTCCCAGGTTTCTTTGCGACTGTTTATGGACAGCAGTTTTAAAGTCTGCTTGAGAAACAGAACCACAACATAATGCTGTCCTCATGATGCCGACAGTAGGAATGGTGTTTTCACTGTTGAGTGAAATCCTATGTTGGGTTTGCATTAAGACAAAAAAGTTCCTAATTTGTCATATATTTGCAGTATTAAGTACTTTATTGTCAATGCAATGAGGATATGGCAGTTGCATCCCTGACTACTGTAGTTTCCTCCACACCTGGCTCAGAGAAACATTATGTGCTTTGAAATGGTTTTATAACTTTCTTCTCATCTGTGCCTGAGTCCGAAGACATGGTTAGAAAATACCGAGAGCCCCAATTCTGCGAAGCAGCAGTATTAACCATCCTGCCACTGTGCTGTCCCTCTATCCATGCACATTACAAGTACAGTATATATACAGTTAATGTAGACTTGATAAAAGTTTTAAAGAGGTTTTATTTGCGCTATTACAAAGAGTACCTATGCAGATACTGTACAGTATTGTGGATGAGATCAGTGTGGGACTGATTACGTCAAAGCACAGATTGAGTACTGCTCGTACATGGCTTTGCTACTGATGCAGACAAAGAACTTCAAAGTCATTTTTAGAAATCCCACTCAAGTGTGATTGCACATAATTAAAGCTATTTTTTCAATGGCTGTACTTTGTTCTTCATTCTGTATTGATTCTTATCAGTTTCTTTGCTGAAGTAGCCAGGTGGGCATGCGGATTGTATTTGAGCATGTTTCATATGATCATTTCCACATGCGGAATATCAGGTTTGCACATAATGCCTTACCTTGGATTACTTTGAGTTGAACAAATCTGAAAAAGTATCACAATCTTATTATCAACATGTCCTTCAAAGTAGTAAGGTTATTTAAGGCTATTCATATGAGTTAAACATTTTCAATGACTTCTTCATGTTAATCTAGGGCCGTTTGGTGATTGTCAGCATTGCTGCTTGGCCTTGCTGGGGCCTGAGTTCGTTCAATTCTATATGTGAGGTGCTAAAATTCAAAGACATACTGGTACTGTATGTTAATTGGCTTCTGGGAATAGTGTCCCTGCTGTGAGTGTGTGCGTGTGTCTCTGTCTGTGTGTGCCCTGAGATGGACTGGTGTCCCAGCCAGGCTGTATCTGTCCTTGTGCCTGTTGCTTACTCCCTCGTGACCCTGAATTGGATGAAGCAGTTAGAAAATGGATGTTAGTCTCATGTTAGTATTGATCACTTGAGAAACGCAAAGTCATTGTCTCACGTGATGAGTGTGTAACCAGTTGTTGTTTTAAGCTGTCCTAAAGAACATCCTAAAGAAAAGAATCACTTAACTAACCCTATTTAGTAAAGTTAGTAATGGATCCATGGCAGCGTGGTGGAGTGGCAGTTAGCACTGATGCCACACAGCTCTTGGGTCCTTGGTTTCAACGTCAGATTGGGATCTTTTTGTGTTTTTTCAAGTTCCCCCGACAGCACATCCATATGAGTTTTCTCGGAGGGCTCCGGCTTCTTTCTATATACCCAGAGACATACTTCCTGGGCTGGTTTGCGTGTCTGAATGGGCCCTGTGTGTGTCCTGAGAGGTAGACTGTAGATCTTCCTTACTCCCCATGCTTGGGTACCATGACCCTGACCTGGGATAAGTGGTTTCTGATAATATTGGATGATTAGCAGCTGACATGCTGAAGTGGTAAAACCACTTCACAGTTGCAGCGTAAGTTGTTGTAGCAAAAAAAAAACATGTAATGTGCAATGAAGAATTCAGTAATCTTAGTAAGTACAGTAGATAATAACCTATTACCGTATGCCCACAAAAACAAATTCCATTCCAAGTTTTTCAATGCACATTAGCAAAGTATGGATAAATACATGTGCAATTTTAGGATATACTGCATATTATACATGTACTGTACAGATTGGGAAGATATACCTATCAAGTTAATCGTTTTAGTTCTATGTAAAATTGTCAGATTTTGGCGGCACTTTTTTAATTGGCTTTAATGTGGAACACTGTAGATTAGGAGGTGAAACATCGATTTATAAATTCTTTATGTTCTGTAATACATTATATGACCAGAAAAATAACCTGGTAGAAACAGGCTCCTACTTTTGATGAATTTGTTACTATCAGCAAATGTGGGAAGCAAAGTGACACAGTGGTCAGCATGGCAGCTCTCAGCTCTGGAGCTCTGCGTTCAATTCCTGGGGAGCGCTCTGCTTGGACTTTGTATGTTATCCCTGCACTCATGTGCTCTGGTTTCTTCCCACAGTCTAAAAGGCAAACTGATATGTTAATCGGCTTCTGTAAAATGAGCCTTAATGTGAGTGTGTGTGTGTGTGCTTGTGCCGTGATGGAATAGCACTATTATGTCCCTTCCAGGGTGTACCCCGCCTTGTGCCTGTTGCTTGCTGGGATAGGTCCCGGCCCCCCACGACTCTGCATTGGATGCAATGGTTAGAAAATACCGTAGGTGGAAGGATGGACTAACAAAAATCAAACTATTCTGGAGTAAAAACATTTTATCATGGTAACGTCAGTGTTAATGACTTGTTTGTGATACCAATTTCACATATATTTGTATATATGTATTTTGTTCTAGAACCACTGACTTAATTGCCTGTTAAGGAACACTTAAATATCACTCATATTGGGTATGAAGTAAATTATCTCTTTATTTACATAAAAGGAAAGAGAATATTCAGAAAGTCTGTTTCATGGGAAGTTCATAAATAGGACTGATGATGGATTCCAATTCTAAAGTTATTTGTGCATAGAAAACCATTTTATATCCAAAGTGATCCTCAGGCATAAGAAACATGCAAATTATAGTTAGACTATTAAAGTTTGGAGATTTCTGTTTTGTTTGTATTAAGCTTTTTGGAAGCTTTTGGAAAACATTTTGATAAATATTTTTTGTTATATAAACAAATTATTAATGAATACAACACTGTAATATATTTAGTGAATGTAGCTTTACATCTTTAAGAGAAATTGTCAAAAGCAATACAGGTAAAATTGATTTATCAAAAAATATCTACTAATTAGCACCAGATCAAAGCAAGTGCATTTTCTTTTTATTCCAGCAACATGTGGCTACCAGAGCCCAGTAAAACATGTGTTTTTATTTAAGTTATGTGGAAAAGGTTAAATAGGAAACTTGGAGAAGAAAAAAAGAACTAAAGCTTTTCACATGATGAAATTCACATAGTGTGTTCAACATTTTAGAGATTTTTTAACCTTCTTTACATTTGTAACTAAATGGAAGTGAGAAAAATAAATAGCCGGAAGACTGTCGAGTGACTGAACATCAGTGTATCAGCTGAGACCTTAAAAAAGTGTGTTCCATCATTTGCTTGCTCATGTTATTTGGTTATTTGATTTGTACCCTGTTGTGAGTATCCTTAGCAATTGTCTTTTGTTTCTCCAATGGAAAACTATTCCAGAAAAAGATTCTGAAAAGCAGCTTCCCAAAAATGAGAGGAAAGGGTGTGGTGAAATAATTGATTGTTGTCTTGGGTTCAGTCTAAATTGGATTGTGTCTTAAACCGATACATGCACTGCAGTCTTATAAATCCCATGCCCTTCTCCCCTTGCCCCAGTATGCTACTGTATATTTGCTCTAGCAGGGAAAGAAACTCACTTTCCTGCTATAAGATTCCCCCCTGACACTAAACCACTATCAGACAAGCAGTACTTTATGCGTGTAATTGTGTTGTTCAGTTGTGTATCCTTAATTCTACAGGATGTATGAAAACAAAAGGTTTTGAAAAGTATTTTGTTAATTCCAAAAAAGCTTAATGTTTCAAAGAATCTTCAAGTATAAACAACTGTAATATTAAAGTAGCTGCAATATTTTACAGTATAATGTATATATATTATATATATTATGCAGTTATAGTCTTCTATTGTAGAATTCTAACTTCTGTTTTAGATCTGACATCTCACTGGTCATTATATTTTATTCAAGTGTTTCAAATGAAACCAGAAGACATTTCTGTAAAAGCATTTGTAAGAAAAGAAAATCTTTATTGGTTAAAATAGCTTTTTAGCAGGTATGATTAATGACATTTTTGTTTTTTATCATGCAGTAACACACTGTACAACAGTGGATTAACAGGGAATACCAAATGACCACACTGTACTTCACAAAAATGTACATTCACGTTTTGTACTGTGAATGAATAATTTGCAAAACTTGAAATGTAAAATGTATTGTCAGTGATGCATTCATTTTTCTGACCGGTGTATTGTAAAATAAATTAGTAACATGCATGCTATGAAACATTTATCCCCTTTATGTAACATATTATATCCTAGTCAAAGTTTCAGTGCAAACACCATTGTAGCTGAAAAGACATCGAATCCTCGTATTTGAGTACCAAAATACTGCAATGTAATGTTCAACCATTTTAACCTCCAAATTAAAACTTATCTAAGAGTGTGGTGGCTGTGGAGCTACATTGGCATATACATTTTATTACTCTTGACTAAATATTAGTCCAGCTCTATAAGCAGTCTTCTAAAAACTCACATTTGACAGTTAGCTTGATTTACAGTACTAAAACATCTATCACTCAAGCAGCAATGATTACATCGTTAAAAAAATCATCCACAACCAAAAAAAATTAAAACTGCTACTGCTTTCCAAAATAACCATACATTTACAACAAGAGAAAAAAATTAACACATCCCTTTTGAAGAGCCTTAGGGACATTTTTGTGAAGAATGAAGCTGTGCCTTTGTTTCACAGCAGATCTTATCCATCCTGTGAACATGTCCACTTTTCCACAAAAGCCAAGACAACAAAAACATTAATAAAACTGACGCCACATAAATTCAAAGTTTATCAGGAAATGACAGTCCACTAATATTAAAAGAGATCTCTCTTTTGATTAAGAAAAAAGTACTGCTGAAATTGGGATTTTTTTCAATAAATATGGTTTTGGATCTATTTTGCTTTATTATTCATATGGAAATGACCTAGGGTAGTAGTCAATTGTCTAGTGGTGAATGTCCTGTATATCTAATAAATAAATATTAATTCATGAAGTTAAGTACAAGGTACAGAATAAGATTATTTAGTTATAACCCTGTTTTACAACAAGCTTGAAAGGATTTTAAGCTTGAAAATCATTAAGGTCATAAGGGGAATAAAAGATATAGTTGTAGTTTGAAACAACTTTACAGACTTGGAAAAAAGTTTCACGGGAACCTGTGACATCAAAGTGCAAAAATTTTAAATGGAATGTTCTTGTGTGGGAACACCAAAAAAATATATAGAACAAAATAATAATAAACTACACAAAATATATAAACAAAGCTATAGGAACAAAAAATTGGGACTGTTCAGCAACATGTATCAAACACATCCTTGCATTTATTTAATTGTTGTTTTTTCTTGCCACCCTTCTCTTGTGTTTTGGAACAACAGATTGTTAACTTCTCTAATCTTAATGTCATTGTTTAAGGACAGTACCTCCAGCACTTAAGTATCTGTACTGTATGTCTCTGTGTTTATTAAGAGTTTCTAGTGAAGACAGTGAAGTTGAAAGTACCGCTTTATTCTCTCGATTGGGAATGGGGCTACACGTCAAGGTCGCCCGGTCGAGGCCTGCTGCTGACGCGGCTGCTGGCTCTGCTCGAAGGCCTCGGGTCCATGAGGGACAGAGGCTGTAACTCGTGATCTGGCGAAAGTTTCTTGTGCTCGTGCGTATCGTCGGGGAAGTCGAAAGCCTGCGCGTGAGAGTTGGAGATGGTGCTGCCGTTCTGGCCCAGGCGGTTCTGCTCGGTGCTGTAGTTGGCCCAGTTCTGCTCGTTGGCTTGCTTGTTGTAATTGCGGCAAGAGTTGGTCCGGTCGCCCGTGGCCAGCTTGTACCCTGGGGGCGACATGGGGGCCGTGGGAGAGGAGCAGCCGTTGTAGTAGGTATACTTCGGGGACACACAGTCCTTGGGAGTCGGACTCATCGGCCCGCAAGGCATCAAAGGATCTCTTTTGGCCTTCATGCGATCCTTGATGCTCTTGAAGAAAACGTAAAACAATTCAATCACGTTCAGGAAAAGGGACACCAGAGAGACCACCAGCATGAAGATAATGAAGATTGTTTTCTCTGTAGGACGAGAAAGGAAGCAGTCCACTTGATGTGGACACGGCTCTCTCTTGCAAGTATATACAGCAGACAGGCTGAATCCATACATGTACCACTGTATTATCAAGAACCCCACCTCAAATATTGACTTAAAAAAGATGCTGACGATATAGGTACGCAGCAGGGCTCCTTTCATTTTCACCTTCCCATGCTCTTCCAGCCCATACTTGAACTTCTTCATCTCAATCTGTTTTAGGGGTGCATCCACGTCACTGCCCACATTCTGGACAGCTTTCAGTTCCTCTTCTCTCTTATTTAATTTCTCCTCTTTCCGCATCAGGTAAAAAACATGAGCGAGATACAGCAGTGTCGGGGTCGAGACAAATATGATCTGCAAGACCCAGAAACGCACATGGGAAATGGGGAAGGATTTGTCATAGCAGACGTTCTCACAACCGGGTTGCTGGGTGTTGCATTTAAAAGCAGACTGTTCATCACCCCAGGCAGACTCGACGGCTGTGCCCAAGACAAGTATTCTAAAGATGAAGAGTACGGAGAGCCACACCTTTCCTCCAGCAGTGGAATAAGCCTGGACTTTGTCAAGAAGTCGTGCTAAAGCACTCCAGTCACCCATCTTGAGTGCACTCTTGCTGTAATCAAAGATGCAAATATATTAGGCCCAGATATTTAAAAAAATAGATTTTACTTTCAAAAATAGAATTTGTACAGTAGAACACATCTGAGTGGGGAAATTTCACATTTGTAAGCTTTAACTGTATATTACATTTGAACACTTCACAGGAAATTCTACTTATTTGTATGGAAGATAAGGCACACGCACACATCATGTAAATCAAACACTTCATATTCGGATATTTGTTACATTTTTCACACACAAAAATCTATGGTTTGTGTGCGCAGAATGATTAGAGAAATATGGGTGTTAGTGTTTTGTGTACCATGACAGAGACAAAAAAGGAGAAGACTAGAGCACAAAGAGTTAGAAGGGGATTAAACAGGAGGGATTCGGCATTCAGTTAATTGGACAGAAGGCTTTCATCAAGTGGAAGCTCTTGCCATACAAGTCTTTATAAACTACACAGTGCTTTGAAAACGTACTCTCCCCTTCTAATAATATCCCAAATGATCAACAAATTATCTGCAGATTTTTTAGAGTGAATGCTTCCACTTCACACTTTTCCAAGTGAAAGAAAGAACGACGAAAACTTCAAAGAAAAATCAAAAACTCAAATATATTTTATTTTATATTTTAATACATCCACTTATAATTGCAGAGGTATTCAACCCCCTTTGCGACGGCAAACCTAGATTTTAATTCAGGTGCAAAAATTCACTTTGAAAACTAACATAGTTGAATTTGTGCAATCATAGTGTTTAGCACTATCTTAAAGTAAATACACCAGTATTTGTATTGTATTTGTGGTCAGATAAGACAAAATAGTAACTTTCCAGTCTAAATGCAAAAAAATACATCTGGCACAAATCCCACATAGGGCATCACTCAGGCAACAGCCTCCCTGATGTGAAGTGTGGTGGTGCATCACTATGTTACAGCTCTGCTTCTCATCAGCAGGGACTGGGAGGCTTGTCAAGACTGAAGGGAAAGTGGATGGAGGATAATGCCAGCAAAACCTAAAGGAAATCCTGCTTTTCTCTACTGAAAGTCTAAAAGTGAGATGAGAATTCAATATTCACCAGTACAATCACCCAAAGCCTAAGGTCAAAGCTACTTGGAATGGCTTAACAAGAACAAGAAAGTGAGTCTCCTTGAGTGGCCCCAGTCAAAGTCTAGACTTCAATCCTATAGCACATCTGTGAGAAGAACTGCTGTCAAGCTGAAGAGCTTGATCAAGTTTGCAAAGACGACTGGGTGCAACTGCACCATCCTGGAGAGGAGACTTTGTAGAGACACATTCAAAAAGAGCTGCAGCTGGGACTGCTGCCCAAGATTCAGTCACAAGGGTGAATACTTGCAATCAACATATTGTAGGTTGGGGTCTTTCTCTACTATTTTGCTTCTTTTATCCATAAAACCCCCAAGAGAATATGAGCAAGAGTTTCAACAAGCCTTCACAAAACACAGAGTAGGGGATCTTTAAAGTTAAGCAGTATATGGTAGCTTAACAATATGCTTATTTTTGAAAAGACATCTGTTAATTAGAAAAGCATGCATAGCACTACCAAAGCAGGAGTGAAGCTGACACTCTGCTTCTCTATCATGCTATACTGCTGCATGCAGGGCGGCACTGCACTCACATTATTTGGAGGAGATTATAAATTCTGATCTGCAAGATTGCTTCCCTTTGCTGGCAAAGAGGCTCTTTACTTCTCAGCACTTAGTTTTATCAAGAATCTTTTTCTCAGATTGGTGAAAGACAGCAGACACTTGCTCAACTGGCAAGACTAGGCCACAGCAGTGACGTGCTTACTCTCCTTGGTGCGGGATGTGATTGGTCGCAGACCAGTCTGCAAAGGTGGTAGGGGTGATATCTGATACAGCAAGGCCCTCCTAAGCGGATCTCTGCCTGTGTGATCTTACAGTAATTTGTCTAAGAGCAACAACATTTGTAAAGGAGACAACACAGCAGCTCACAACAAGCCTGCAATGTGCAGGCCAGAGGGAGAGTCAGGTCATTACGGCTGCCATGGCCTGGCCAGTCATCACATACTGTATGAACATTAATAATTACACATGAGCTGTTCTCAGTTGTTTCCTGGTAAATCCACTCATGGGATGTCTTGGTACAGTTCCAGTAACAGCAATGGGCTGCAATTCTCTCAGTGAGTAGGCACGTTGCCTCCTGTAGTCTCTCTATGTACAGTATGCTAGTACATTTAAAAAATATTACAAAGACTATACTGTACATACACATGACAGGAAAATACAGCATCAGAACAATGATTATGTTGGGTGTCAAGTTATTAACGACATTTTTTGTCTACTGAACAGAAAACCAGCTCATTAAAATATAAAGGAAACGTAAAAGAAAAACTGGTAATACATGACAGCGATAGTAAGGCCTCCAGTATGGTAGTTCTGTACTTAAAGTCAGAGTTGTACACAGGTGCCATAGACTGTAATCCAAATTAAACTGAAGGTGCTTAATTGACACCAGCCACCATTAGCCTTGTTCTAAATAATGTATGTGTAGCCTCGTGTCCATCTGGCAAAGCTATTTAAACCTATTTAAACCTTCCCTACGAAGCTGCCGAGTGTGCAAACTGCCAGCTGGAAGCATGAGGAACATTCCACATACACTGTAATACAAAGATCAATTGAGAGTATTGTTCTTATAATATTCACTGTTAAAATTCAGTCCTGAGCTTTGCTTTTAATTTTTTTTAAAGTGCAATTATAATTTACTACATGCAGGGTCTGCTGGGTATGGGGTGGAGGCACAGTCATTCTGATGTCTGTCTGAAAACTAGAGTTGTGACCACAATGGAGCCAAAAAAAGCTGCAAAATGCATTTTGGGGAAAAATAATTCCTTTGAGCATCCTTCAGAAGTGTATCAATGAAAGGTCACAGATGGAGGTTAAAGAAGACCCGAAGGCAAGAGAAACCAGCTGAATATACAGATTAAACAGTCAGTCACATCTTTGTGTGCCTATATACAGTATAGAAGTATACATCCTGTACACGAACTGTTATAAAATCTCCATACACACATTTATAATTAATCTGAATCAGTTTCTACACTTGTTGAAGGTAGTTGATTTTGGGGGGTTTTGTTAATTCTTGTAAAGCACAGACAAATCATACAATTATTTTTAAATAATATATTTATATGATATTATATTTTAATAATTATTTAACAAAAGTTATTAGATAGATAATACTTTAGTAATCCCATAGGATTGATGAATTATTGTTATGTTATTATTGATGTTATTATTGTATTTTTGTGTCAGTTATTCATATTTCAAGGGACTTTTAGATAACATTAAAGTAATACACTTGTAATCTTACCAATACAAGGACTGTGCACTCCAGATGTTCACAATAAGATATATTCATTAAATTGAATGTTACATTGTTGGAAAATACCTATGAAAGACGATTACTTAGAACCTTGATGGTTTCCACAAACTGTGTTTTGACTCTGTTTACAGCCTTAGGCAAAGTAATAAAGATTTATAACATCTGAAAATGATAATAAAGATTATTTGCGCAATTTCGTTATTGGTTTCGTGTTTTTAGTGAAATACATTACTATTCCAGAACATCTCTACAGCTCTGGAATGATTTTACTAAACATAAAAAAAATGTTGTTAAATCTGTTAAAGAGTAAACTTTTGAGAAACGTTTTTTAAATCCCCGCACCAGCTAACACACAGAAGAAAATCTAATGGAACTACATGTCTCTGAAAACCATTATACAACTTCACCAATCACTGATAACTTTGTGTGCAATAATATGATAAAAACTACTTTATAAACTTGATAAACTAAAATGTTTACTGCGGATTTCAGTTAGAAAACTGAAAAATAATTGAACACATATGTTACAGAGTGGGAAGGGTGACTAACTGGGAAAAGTTGACTTCCAGACGTTCACTTGAATACTGTACAGAGGATTCAAATTAACAGTTCAATGTATAGATGGTCTGTTGATTCGTTTTCGTTTTCAAACTTACCTTGAAGGACGAAGTTACAAAAGAGCCTTGCTTGTCTTTCCCCGAAAATCTGTCCAATTCTATCACCGTTTTCTTACAATCCAAGTTCGGGACCAGGGAGAAACTGAGACTGACTTGTCAAACTTTCTCTGCTTATAACAGTCTTCATTGGGGTTTAAAAAAAAAAAGTTTTGTAGTCACCTGATTCCTGACGTAATGTAGACCTCCTAACAAATTAACAGGATCACGGATAACTTTTGGGGGGGCAGACTCCAACCATACAGAGTAGAGATTCCTACATTTTATTTTCAATGACAAAATGACTAATATTGAAATTCAAAAGTTTATAAGTTTAGAGGACAGCAGCTACCTGTACGTGAAAATAAATGACCAAATATATGTCAGATATGAGCTTTTTTTTTTAGCAAACTCGTTTTGCAATGCGTTTTAAGGATGCAAACAGAAAAAAACACAGATTATGACTAATGATTTCTTCGGATCATATACCATTTTAGTTCCATTTGATTGCCTGTGTAAGAATCAATTTCAAATGTTTAACTTTGCATTTTTCATAAAGAAGTTTAGTTCCACTAAACACAACTAAAAAGAAATAACCCCGGCCCGTATAAATGTCTCATATAAAACTTCCGTCGGTGATCAGCGCATTACTTTAATAAAAACTACACAATTGCATGTATTCAATAATTATTCAATGAAACTCCACTTTGCGTTGAAGTGGTTTTACTGTGAAATTTGATTATATTTATTACATTTTTGAAGACAATATAGAGTTTAATCCACATATATAGATTTATATTAGGCTATATGAGGTTGTGGCATGCCATATGCAGAGAGTGGTGCATTATATCAATTAAGACAAGATCATTTGAACATGAGAACAGAATCATATGACGCAAATCTAACGTGGGTTTCTGCATTGCGCTCCAACCGTCATATTGCTGTGACCATAGCGCCCTCTCCTGCACACTGCATAAAATAAGGTCAAAGAAAGAAATTATTTTCAGTGTCCTTTGTAATGAAAGGTACTGTACGCGCATCTTGACACTTTGTATTAATTAACAGATGATTTGGTTTTTCCGATAAATGAAAAATCTGCAGATTCCAGTATTTACAACTGGAATTCATCTTATTTTCTCAGTGTCCTCAAGCTGACATACTGTACCACACAGTAGCTTCCTTATCTGTGATTGGATTCTAGAGTAGAAAGAAGCTCATACCATGTACTGTACCTTGGAATTTCATTTTAAATTCATGAGCTAAGATAAACAATCAAAATAGTTTGAGCGGACTTTTAATTATTCCAGCAAACATAATCCAAGAAAAACTGATTTACCATAACCATCACACTAAATGGAGAAATCAGGTTTTCCTCTACTCTGACAAGGCACGCTCCAACAGTAGTACTAAGGTGATTAGTGCCTGATTATAGATGGAAAGTGGACTAGAAACAGGCATTATGTGTACAGAAAGCAGTAATGTGCCATGATATGATGTAATGTGATTTTGGAAAGATGCTGAACTCTCTTTTCAAGCGTGACTGTGACTGCTGGTGCTGCAGTGTGCTGGAGCACATATTTCAGGGAAGGGCCTTCACTTCCTCCAGAACTGGCATGATGTTTCTGCAGATGCCACTCTGCGAACAGGAGAGCTGAGATCAGAACTTCTGCTACCGACACTGAGACACATCATAGGTATGTGTGGAGAAAGGATGCACAAAAACCTTGAAACCAAGTTAAGGACACAGAAGACTAGAGAAAAGACAAACATAAAAATGAAAGTTTTGTGATCAGTGTGTACTGTACAAGTTGGAGTCTCTGGGAAAATCTCCTTCTTTCTGTAGGATGGATTCAGAAAATAAAATTTCTGCTTTTGAGTTCAGTAGCTACAGTACTAAGGTACAGTATTCAATCAGACCATAGACTGTGCTGTACACAACTGAGGGCATTTTGTGTAAGAACTGGAGGGTCAAACATGACAGTGTTGTGTTGCCATAAGGGAAAAGAATACAAACAGCAAGACTATTCTTACATTTGCCATCCATCCATTTTCTAACCACTTCTTCAAATACAGGGTCACAGAAGAGCTGGAGCCTGTCCCAGCAAGCAACTGGCACAAGGCAGGACACACCCTGGATGATATGCAAGTCCTTCGCAGGGCACACTCACGGACACAAACACACACACTCACAACAGGCCACAATTAACCCAACAGGATGTCAGAGCACATTTATCCCAGCTATGAATTATCAAGGTGCTCATGTAGCAGAGCTAGTTCGGACACGGTGACATCATCGCCCTCCCTGCGCGTAGCGGGGATCTCAGCTGCCTGGGCTGGGGGAGGTGTCCTCTAGCTCACTCGGCTGGTTCCCTGTTGTGGTACACTGGAGACCTAGGTTCATGCCCCAGGTGTAGCGGGATGAAATTGTTAGTGGAGGACATGAGCCTGCATGGAACTGGCACACAACTTAAAAGGAGTTTTATAGTATTTAGAAACATTTGATTTTTTGTAACTCTTCCTAGAATTGCTGCTTTCAAGTTCTGGACCAGGGAGAGCAGTGCCACCTGCTAGTCCACCAACAGCACAGCCACAACCAAGCTCCTTCTAAAGGTCTCCCAGCCCCGGCACTGGCCAGCCTCTGAAGTCAGGCTAGAAGACGGTAACACTGCTGAAGTAGTCAAACAGCAATCTAAAATGTGGTGCAGAAAACCATGTGTATGTTAAAAACGGTGTTGTAAGGCATGAACAAGGTTCTGTGAATTTATATGAAATGTATGGATTTTATGAGGGTGTAACAACATTATATTTGTCTTAGGTACTGGAGCAGGTTTTAGCAATAAAAACGGCAAGGACAAGGAATTTCAATTCCTTATTTCGCACACAGCGCATCCAGGATACCAGTTTCAACTCATCTGCCCACAAAACAGCATCAAGATGGAACATTCAAAACTGGCTAAATAATAAGAGTGCCATGCAGATGCTTGATTTTTATCACAGGTAGAAGGTAGAAGGTAGAAAATGTGTCTTTTCAAGTAGTAAATTACCCTTTCTTGTATCCTAATTATTTAGGCAGATCTCGAATAACAGGTTTAAAATCACAGGTTTGTGTCTTTTAGATAAAGGTAAAGAAATTAGATTATCACTTTCTAAATAATCTAGCAATATTTTGAATTTATTTTTAGATACACATACAGTATAGTTCAGAGCTTTGTGAATTGTTAGCTGAATTTATCAGTGTTAATTCAACACTATAATCTTTATATTTCAAACATACATAGAGTAGTAGTTCAGGTGGGTAGCTGTGTCAGCATGCAAAGGCTGAAAAGGAACAAGTAATTGTTTTACTTGTTTATTATGTGTTTTTTTATAAAAGGTTTATTCCATGCTGAAAAGAGAAGAAAGAAAACACAACGTTTCGGCCGTGGAGCCTTCTTAAGGTGTGAGGTGAGTCTTCAGGTGTGACCCTCAACGTTGTGTTTTCTTTCTTCTCTTTTCAGCATGGAATAAACCTATTACTTGTTACCATACACAGAGTAGGTACTGTATAACACAAAGCATATTCAATACATTTATTGACATTGTTAGGCTAAATATAAAACCTCATTCTTACATAATGTATTTGTTGGTGAAATGCAGTAGTTGATCTACTTTTCACTCAATAAATATTCGTCGTCTTTCATGCTTTGAATGCTTCCTTCAGTGCTGTGCTTTGTACTCTGAGCTTCACCACACCAAGGAGGTTGTGGGTCAGCTTCCCTCTTCATTTTACACTCCTCCTCACTTATGCTTCTTGTCATCTCACTCTCCAGCTTGTCTTCATTCTGCTCAATCTTTAAATTAGTCTTGTTCTGTAGCACACTATGCTTATCACTGAAAGTCTCACAATCCAGAGGTGCTTTAAAACCAGAAGAAACCACCTCAGAAGTCAGGGGAATCTTTAAGCCACCAATCTGCTGCTGATACTGCTTGTTTACAGCATAACTAATCTTGCGTCCACAGAGGTAAAAGATCTCAATGACATTCAGAAGCAGAGATATACACGCTACCACAAGCATGAACAAAATGAAAATAGTCTTCTCGGTCGGCCGGGACATATAACATTCGACTTTGAAGGGGCAAGGGCTCCTGTTACATACAAACACGGGGTCCAGAACAAACCCATACAGATAATACTGGCCTACAATGAAGCCCACTTCAAAGAGAATTTTAAAGATCACATTTATTAAATAACTGCATAGTAAATTGCCTTGGATTCTAACTTTCCCATCAGCATCTGTATATTTTGGGATCTTACTGATTTTTTTCATAAGCAGATTGCCATCTTGTTCTTCTTTCAGCTTGCGTTGCCTCAGCTTCTCTTCCTTGTGGATAACATGCAAGACGTGTCCCAGGTACACTAGGGTTGGGGTGGACACAAAGATGATCTGCAGAACCCAGAAGCGAATGTGGGAGATTGGGAAGGCCTTATCGTAGCACACATTCTCACACCCAGGCTGCTGTGTGTTGCACAAGAAATCTGACTGCTCGTCACCCCAGACCTTTTCTGCTCCAGCTCCCAGTACCAGAATCCTGAAGACAAACAGGACAGTCAGCCAAATCTTCCCAACCACAGTTGAATGGGATTGGACTTTATCCAGCAGTCTTCCCAGGAATGTCCAGTCCCCCATTCTTCACTCTGTTCTTTAAAATGAAAATAAATAATCATTTACTGAAAATCAAAGTTTCACAATTAAATACGAAAACACAAAGCTGATAATCTGTCAGCTCGCATTAATCTAATAAATAGGTTCAGAAATTCCACATTGGAGCCATTGCCCTAAAAATGCATAGTAATTGAGTAGCAATCCAATATCACTTAATGTCCATTCAATGCTCTAAATAGGAAAACATACAGTAATTCCTTTAATTTTAATGTTTATTCAGAAAAAATAGAAAATACAATATTTATTCACTCATGGAATTAAGAGAGCATAAAGCATCTGCAAAGTATATCCTAAATACAGAATGAAAGTCCTATTTTTGTTTAACTGTGTTGTACACTCACAAACTGCTGCACTATAGGGTGTGTAATCATTAAACAAAATACTGATTTGCGATGGGAAAATATTGAAAGACAGAGAAAAAACTTAGAGAAAGACAACTATTGCCCATCTATTACAAGTTTTTTTGCAGTTTAATCTTACATAATGTTTAAGCTATAATATAAATCCAAATTCCAGATTCAGCCATTGATGGTGATTTGATCAAATCAACTAAGTACACTTTAAAAAGAAAATCAATTATGTAAAGAATAACAAAGCTTGCTAAAAATGATATACTGTATACTGTCCAGAGCACATTTCTCACCTTCTGATGATCGGAAACTGCCAGGGAATTCACTAAAGTCTTTTGCTAGGAGATAAATGTCAATCAGCTTCTGAGTTTTTTTTTCGAGCAATTGGACAATTTTGAGGTGCATACAGAACAAGAACTGCCACGTCTTTGGAAATAAAACTGCCACCAGTTAAAACTGAAAGACCTTGTACTGTATAGGCTGCCAGCTGTTTAATGATTAATAGAAACTTAAAATCTAAAACAGCATTGAAATTACATAAAATAAAGGTTTCTTAAATGAAAAAACACACTTAACCTTTAACAAAAGATTATATACTGTATATATTTATATAATAAGCACATTGTCAAGCTACACCTTGATATTACTAATGAATGAGACGGTTATAGTATCTCACACTGTAAAAACCGGTGGGGAACCTCAAATGACTAGAAATCAAACATTTGTTGTATCCAACTCTATCTTAAGCAATTATCCCATGGGACTAAAACAATCAATTTAATTGAAAATGATTATTTGCTTTAAAATGTTCTCAGTGTCATATTTGATCCTGCAGATTTCTTGTCACCTAAAAAAATTGTTTAATTTTGTCTCTATTTTATTTTAACATCTACAGTCAATTTTATCTCATACCAACAGTTTAAATCATCAAAGTAAAGGGAATGTATTCAGCTTTGTTGATAATCAGTGTTTTCTATTGACAAAATTATCACACTCTGTGATACACATACTGTATGGATTGTGGCTATCGGTATTGAGCATGACATTTTCCTGTTTGTAAATAAAGGATCTAAAATGAAGATTACCCTGTGAATAATCTGATAAAAAAAACATAAATTGTCTTTCACTTTAAAAGTTTCAGATTTGATTTTTAATGGCTCCTGCATTTTGCCTTAATTCTCGTCTTAGGAACTTCAGACATTCATTGTTTTTATCTGACATTAATTAATTTAATTAATTAATTTAATTAAAAAGAAAAATAATATGGATTATACTTTTAAACAACTCCAGATATGGGCCTAAACTATGTTTACATGGAAAAGTGCAGTTAGTGAAAAACTGGATCCCTACTGAATCTTCAAGTGTAAATGCAACATAAATCTTGATACGTAACAGAACATTTTTTTCAATATTGTAAATCTGACTGCTCTGAAGAAAGAAACTGCAACCAGTTTTAATAAGAAACACCACAGTGTTTCTGCCAAGCCAACACAAAAATAAAACACAGAAAACATGTAGGCCAGACGTGAGCTGGGTAGGGACCTGATGACAGCCCCTACAGAGCTGGGGTCATGTTTCACACAACTCCACAACGTGTTCTAGGAAAACAATCCTACAGCTCCTTCTTGCTTTCCTCACACAGATATAAAACATCTTCTTTAATTTATTCCTGCTCTTAAGATGTAGGTGTCTGAGCTTAAAACACATATACTGTATTATCATGAAATGGAGCTCAAAATCACTTTGGAAAAATAAGTTTCTTCTGTATATGGTGTTTTTTACTCAGCAGTTAAAAAACAGAAGCTCTTGGACAATGATTAATAGGAGTTTATCTGCATCTTTGTTTAAACAGTTAAATACCTGGAGCCACAAAGTAATGGTTATACTTTAGCTTATGTTTTACAGATTTTTCAATAAGAACATGTAAACATATTTCATGTTTCTCTTTGAATAAATTGAGAGGAACATATTTAGAAAGTGGATATTGTACCACTAGCCCTAATATAATTTCAGTAAAAATTATATTTTTAAGACAGGTCTTATGATCTAGTAATAATCATCACACCAACTTCCAACGGTAATGGAAGGATAGTTTCAAAGTATCTTTTAGAAGAAAGGTTCAAGGGACAGTAACAGTTATTGTGACTGTATCATCTGTAATTCTGTCTTTCCAGAGGTTGAGAACAGTCAGTGACAATTATCAATGAATACATATTAGCAGTGAAGGTTTGTGGTAACACTAGTTTAAACAATTCAGGAAAATTGCTTATAGAATATGCTCCGGGAATTACAGATCATGTAATGACTTTCAAGAAATTACTGGTCTAGGGCCTTTGATCACTTAGCTACTACAAACCAAAGGAGATAGACAGACTGAAATGTCCCATCTCAATTGTAAATATTATCTCCATATAGATGTAGTTATCATCCCTCAGCCAAGCAATATGTCATTTTGACAATCATGCATTCGATACTGTCTGCATTCGTTTTTGTTCTGTTTTGCAAAGTTACATTTCAGTTCTCTAAAACAGTCTGTTACTGCTGCTCAATAAAGAAAATTTAAAGATTTTCCAAATTTTCTGAATGTAAACTGAAGGAAGAAGAAACTTGTACAGAATACAAAACAAAACCAAAAATTACATTTAATTTTATTTTTGGATGTCTCTGAGGCAAAACATAAACTCTTTAGTAGGAATGTGGCAACCACTTGATTGATCTGTGCAATTCACAAACCATATCACAATAACATTACCACCACGAAGTAGAGACACACACCCATATGGAGCCAGCAGCCACATCACCCGGTAACTCACAACAGGCAGCCCACTGAAGCTCAGCAGGTGTGAGCTTGGTCAGTACCTGGAGGGGAGGCTCCTGGGAAGGCTGAGGTTGCTGCTGGAAGCGGTGTTAATGGGTCCAGCAGGGGTTGCTCACCCTACAGTCTCTGTGGGTCCTAATGTCCCAGTATAGTAACGGGGACACTACACTGTAAAAAGGGAAAGATCCGTCCTTTGGATGAGACATAAAACCGAGGTCCTGACTCTCTGTGGTCATTAAAAATCCCAGGGCATTTCTCAAAAAGATTAGGGGTGTTACCCTGGCATCTTGGTCAAATTTCCCATTGACCCTTATCAATCATAGCCGCCTAATAATCCCCATCTATATATTGGCTTCATTACTCTCCTCTCCTCCCCACTGAGAGCTGGTGTGCGGGGAGAGGACTGGCGCATCATCCAGGTGGGGCTGCACACTGGTGGTGGAGGGGATCCCCATTACCTGTAAAACACTTTGAGTGGAGTGTAAGTGTAAGGAATTATCATTTTTATGATCATCATCATCTTTACACCCAATAGACAATCTGCAACAAACTGTAATTTAGAGGTTGTACGATTGCATGTCTAATGAAGTCATTACATTTTGCCCATAAAAGCAGTATTAAATGCTTGAGTCTTTTTTTTTAGAATTTGCAAGCCTTAACTTGGTTTAGTGAGGATGAATTCATACTGCAGAACCATCTCCCAGCCTCTGTCCCACTATATACAGTCCTGTAGCCCCACCACCAGGCGCTGTTCTCAGCCAGCCTTGCATGCGCATGGCTAAAGCGCCCCATGTGGCGCTACATTGCCCCGGCCTGAAGAGTCGAGCTTCCCGCCGACCCCAAACCGTCCCTCCAGGCTGCACACGCAAAGCAGGTTGCTCCGCGGGCTCCTCTCCATCTGGGCAGGCTCTCCATCTCGGCTAGGGTTCTCTCACCGCACCGCTCAGGGCCTCTGTCTGCTCCATCCCACTAGTAACACCAATGTAACGACCGCGGGCCACCCGGGGAAGGTCGCCGCGGTGCGCAACTGGCCGGTGCTCTGGAGGAGCTCCGCAGTTTCCTGGGGTTGGTGTCTTATTACCGGAGGTTTGTCCAGGACTTCGCCAGCCGCGCTGGCCCGCTGCACCACCTCAGGAGAAGGGGGGCATTTTGTGTGGGACGTGGACTGTGAGGCGGCCTTCCGGGGGCTGCGGGAGGCACTGGTGGGGGCTCTCTTCCTGGCCTTCCCAGATCCAACGCTGCCCTATGTGCTGGATACAGACGCCAGTGATACAGGGGTGGGCACAGTGCTAGTACAGGAGGGGCCAGACGGGGAGAGGGTCGTCGCATACTTTAGCAGGGCGCTCAATATGGGCAAGAGACATTATTGCGTCACCCAGAGGGAGTTGCTGTGGGCCTGGCGAAACTGGCGCAGCAGCAGGAGGCAGACCCCGACATCCGGCCGGTGCTCCGCTGAAGGGCGGCGGCCCTCACCCTAAGTCCATGAAGGTGCTCTGCATACTGTGGGAGGCCTTGCTGGTGAGGGACAGCATGCTGCGCTGAGGGTGGTACTGTATGTACGCTCCAGCAGCGAGGTCAGATGGCAGCTGGTGGTGCCGCAGTCACTTCGCAGGGCGGTTCTCCAAGCGGTGCACGGCCAGCTGGGCATGGGGCACTTCGGCTCCGCGAAAACCATGCAGTGACTCCAGGGCCACTTCTATTGAGGTCTCTTTCACCGGGATTTGGAGCAGTCCTGCTGGACGTGTGCGGTCTGCGTGGCCCAGAAAGGTCCTTTTGGGCGCTCATGGGTGCCCCTCCAACAACATCAGGTGGGGGCGCCCATTGAGCGGGTGGGGGTGGACATGCTGGGCCCGTTTCCGCGCACCGAGGTGAGCAGCTGCTACGTCCTGGTGGAGGTGGACTACTATACAAAGTGGCCTGAGGCCTACACCCTCCCGGATCAGAGTGCATCCTTAGCCAACGCCCTGCTGGAGGGAATGTTTGTCAGGCTGGGGGTGCCGGAGGAGCTCCACAGCGACCAGGGCTACAATTTCGAGTCTCGGGTGTTATCGCAGGGGTGTGCCAGCGCCTGGGATTGAGAAAACGTGGACCACCATACTGCATCCCCAGAGCAACAGGTTGGTGGAGCGTTTTAACCAGACACTCTCCACTCAACTGGCCACCCTGGTCTTGTGGCACCAGCGGGACTGTGCATGAATCCACCGGGTGCACCCTGGCCTCGCTCATGCTGGGCTGGGAACTGTGCACCCCGGTGGATTTGGCATTCGGTTCGCCACCGTGAGGAGTGTTTTCACCGGGCTGGGGGGGCATGAGGGGGCAGACCGCCAGACTCCACCTCGACACAGTGGGCGCACTCACCGGGTGGCACAGAGGCTGCAGGATTGTGTGCTGGATGTAGGCCAGCTATTCGACACTGGCAGGACACCAGACATCTCAGTTAGGGGCAGTGTAGCTCATTCGCCTGGCTGGGGTATGCGGCGAGGGGCAGGACGGGAGTAGTAGTGGTCAGGGTGGGGACGAGGAAAGCCGCTGGCCAGTGCAGCTGACCCACTGCGAAATGGGTCCTCGCCAAACCCCAAAATACTACAATCTGTATGAGTTCATTATAAATAACAATAAATACCAA